GGTGCCGAACGTACTCCTAAGCGAGCAGGCCACCCCAGAACTTGACATCTATGCCATGGGGGTGTGCCATACTACCACGATGGGCGTTCCTGTCTAAGGGGTACATGTCGGAGCGTCCAGACTATCAAGAATTCTTAGCGCCAGGAAGATCAGTAGGCCACCCCAACCAAATATATTAATTTCAAATGCATATACCTCAACCAAAACTCCATTAAATTAAATACACTAAATTCATCTATCTAGCTGGGCATCTATTGATCTTATGCCCTATTTCTCCACAACCACTGCACTTTGGTGGCGCCCGTGTACGTGGTTGTAAAGCCGGCGAAGGGCTTCTTCGTGGAGGGGAGGGAGGTGCTTCATCTGCTTCCACCGGCTCAGTAATCAATTGAGAAGCTTCTTGAACTGTGAGCCCTGCTTCAGCTGGTATCTGCTGTCGGGATCGAGTACGCTTTTGCTTCTGCTTCTCGTTGGCGGCGCGTAATTCCTTGTTTTCTTTCGCGAGTAAGATAGCACCTTGCATTGTAAGACGGAAGCCTTTTACAAGCTGGTTTAATGCACGATCTGACGGGCTAGGTGGACTTCGAGATCTTGTACGAAGTAAAGCTTTAATTGATGAAGTCTGCCGACGTAGTTCTTTCTCTGTAGCTGGCGTTTTTGGTGTAAAATTTCGACTTGATTCACTACCCCGGCTAGGAGGGGGGTAGGCGTTCGAAGCCGGATATTAAGCCTTGAAATCACTTGATCTGGTGCAAATGGCACTAAACCGGTAGCTCGGAAGCTGCTTTTAATTGTCTTCGGTTTAAAAGCTTCAATTCGTGCCTTTGGGTATGCTTTAAGAAAGTCAAGTTTCTCAATATGGTTGATCCTATCCCGCATCTTCGTTTCAACCTCCTAACTATAAGACCGTTTTAAGACCGCAAAACAGCCGACATCGAGAGGTTATAAAAGATGGGATAAATGAGCAGGCATACAAATTAGTATCACCTTATTTTGCTCGCAAATTTGATCAAATTTCGGCGTTAAATGACTTCTATGTCCGTCAAGTATTAAAAGCCGATACCCCCCCCTTCGTACGTGAAGAAGTAGTAGGAATAAAGAGCTTTTCAAGCCAGCGAAGTCCAATTTCATCTGAAGTCCAACCATTAGGACTCACTTCAAAACGCCAATCGTTAGGAAGGCCGGTAAACCAGGATTTAAGGAAGACCTTTCCTTTAAAAATCACACACGGAGGAAGCACCCAGCCAGAAGCATTCGTATATTCAATCACCGTCACCCACTCTCGATTTCTAGGTTGTTTAAGTGCTCTCCGCCCAGAGTATTCACTCCTCGTAATAACCCTCGTAGTTATCGTAAATCCCAAAGCAAAACCAGTGTCGTCAAAGTTATAAACGTCATCAGGGTCGATTCCAAATTGAAGGATCGTTTTTTAAACCAAATCAAACCACTCCCTAATGATTTTCGGGTCTTCACATTTCGCGCGCTCGTAGTTATACCGTTTCGAGAATCGGGAGGAGAGGAGAGGGTGCCTTTTAACAAAATTCGTCACCTAGTTTTCGCCGACCGAAGTAACTGGGGTGGTTCCACGCTATGCGAGAAGAAGATCTGCCATTTCTCGAACCATAGAGGGCCGGGGGGCTGATCCACGAGAATCCATAGAGAGTATCCATTTTTGAAGTGATTCCTCTTCAGTTGTAGTCAATTTATGTGAATTGGCGCGAGAAATCGCGCGGTGTTGCATTCCATTAATTCGGTTGCGGAGAGTTGTACGCGGGACGTTAAAGGTACGCGCAGCAAGAGAAATAGAGCTGATATCTCCATTTTTAAAAGCCTGGATAGCTAACAAAAGCCTACCCTCTTGCTCTATTGAATTTCTAGAGGATTGAGAGCGAATTGGTGGCATGGTGGGTGGTTGAAGAAGCAGGGTTTAAATTAACTGACGCGTTTTGGTTGGGGTGGCCACTCGCTTGTGAAATACGTTAGTTAAGCAATCTGTTGTGTCCCTAGTAAAAAGGTGTTGTGTCCTTAGCAATTCCCTGTTAACGTAATTCACATGCGAGCCGCCCACCCCATCCAAAACGCGTCCAGGAATTAGCACTTAGTCAATTCAACCACCCACCATGCCACCAATTCGCTCCCAAAGCTCTAAAAAATCCACAGAGCAAGAGGGTAGGATCTTACTAGCTATCCAGGCTTTTAAGAATCAAGAAATCTCTTCGATTCGTGAACTAGCACGCATTTTTAATATACCGCGTACAACTTTACGCGACCGCCTCTCCGGCCATACTCAACGAAGTACTACACGCGCCAATTCACATAAATTGACTACAACTGAAGAGGAATCACTTCAAAAATGGATACTCTCTATGGATTCTCGTGGATCAGCCCCCCGGCCCTCTATGGTTCGAGAAATGGCAGATCTTCTTCTCGCATAGCGTGGAACCACCCCAGTTACTTCGGTCGGCGAAAACTAGGTGACGAATTTTGTTAAAAGGCACCCTCTCCTCTCCTCCCGATTCTCGAAACGGTATAACTACGAGCGCGCGAAATGTGAAGACCCGAAAATCATTAGGGAGTGGTTTGATTTGGTTTAAAAAACGATCCTTCAATTTGGAATCGACCCTGATGACGTTTATAACTTTGACGACACTGGTTTTGCTTTGGGATTTACGATAACTACGAGGGTTATTACGAGGAGTGAATACTCTGGGCGGAGAGCACTTAAACAACCTAGAAATCGAGAGTGGGTGACGGTGATTGAATATACGAATGCTTCTGGCTGGGTGCTTCCTCCGTGTGTGATTTTTAAAGGAAAGGTCTTCCTTAAATCCTGGTTTACCGGCCTTCCTAACGATTGGCGTTTTGAAGTGAGTCCTAATGGTTGGACTTCAGATGAAATTGGACTTCGCTGGCTTGAAAAGCTCTTTATTCCTACTACTTCTTCACGTACGAAGGGGGGTATCGGCTTTTAATACTTGACGGACATAGAAGTCATTTAACGCCGAAATTTGATCAAATTTGCGAGCAAAATAAGGTGATACTAATTTGTATGCCTGCTCATTTATCCCATCTTTTATAACCTCTCGATGTCGGCTGTTTTGCGGTCTTAAAACGGTCTTATAGTTAGGAGGTTGAAACGAAGATGCGGGATAGGATCAACCATATTGAGAAACTTGACTTTCTTAAAGCATACCCAAAGGCACGAATTGAAGCTTTTAAACCGAAGACAATTAAAAGCAGCTTCCGAGCTACCGGTTTAGTGCCATTTGCACCAGATCAAGTGATTTCAAGGCTTAATATCCGGCTTCGAACGCCTACCCCCCCTCCTAGCCGGGGTAGTGAATCAAGTCGAAATTTTACACCAAAAACGCCAGCTACAGAGAAAGAACTACGTCGGCAGACTTCATCAATTAAAGCTTTACTTCGTACAAGATCTCGAAGTCCACCTAGCCCGTCAGATCGTGCATTAAACCAGCTTGTAAAAGGCTTCCGTCTTACAATGCAAGGTGCTATCTTACTCGCGAAAGAAAACAAGGAATTACGCGCCGCCAACGAGAAGCAGAAGCAAAAGCGTACTCGATCCCGACAGCAGATACCAGCTGAAGCAGGGCTCACAGTTCAAGAAGCTTCTCAATTGATTACTGAGCCGGTGGAAGCAGATGAAGCACCTCCCTCCCCTCCACGAAGAAGCCCTTCGCCGGCTTTACAACCACGTACACGGGCGCCACCAAAGTGCAGTGGTTGTGGAGAAATAGGGCATAAGATCAATAGATGCCCAGCTAGATAGATGAATTTAGTGTATTTAATTTAATGGAGTTTTGGTTGAGGTATATGCATTTGAAATTAATATATTTGGTTGGGGTGGCCACTCGCTTGTAGTGGCCACTCGCTTGTGAAATACGTTACTCTAACGAAGTATTATATAATCTGGCGAATTCCATCCATTGCTGCAGCAACAGTATGCATCTAGTTAACTATGAATTTGATACTTGGTTTATACTTCAACAGAAAGATGCACCTAGTTTAATCTAGATAATATATATATCTCTTCATGCTGATACTCAGTACGCTATAATAGTATGAATTCATGGTCAAATTGGATCTTTTTTGGGTGATTTTGTATGAAATCTGGCATCATGATGTTGAATTCAGTATAATATCTACTCAATTCCTACAATATTGTACTTCTGATGGTGATAATATAATAATACTGAGTATACAGGCTGGAACTTGCGTAAAATACAGCTATTAATCAGGTACTTTATGCATGCCAAGACTGTATTTGTGCGTAGAAATGGGCTTTGATGGGGGCCTTATGGGCCCCCATTAATGGGCTGTGGGTTGGGTTGGGCTTTGAATATTGGGCCCATAGCCCACTGTGGGTTGGGCTTTGGGCCGGGGGTATGGGCCCATTTGTGGGCTATGCAGAGGTCTACCCCAACCGCCCACAAAAGATACTCTACCGAGTTCTCTAAGCCTCATTCCAGCGCCTCCCGTTTGTCATCTTTGCATTTGCGTAAAAAACTAAAAAAATCTAGTCATTTATACAGGTAAGGCTCTACATCAGGTCGATGATTGGTTTCTGTCAACAAAAGAGGGTCGCAATTTTACTAGTGCGCCCGGAATATTCAGCACCCCCATCTGCCTGATGATCCAAGGCTCTCAACGACCTAAGCTCATCCCCTATTTATTCTGCACTTTCTATAGTATATAAAAATCACACTCTCAAGTACTCAATTGGCTATGCCCGTACTAGTCCGTACTGTAACGACCACGTTCCGACACAACAGTCTACTCACGACAGCGATGGTCAGGTGACTGGGGCCTTAGTAACAAGGCTGTGCGCAAATCTCCCTCCCCTTCCCAAACTCCCCACCCAACACCAAGCTCAAGCTCTCGACGGGCGGTCTTCGTTGGCCTGGTGCCTCAAACTACCCTTCATCGAATATCAGTCATATGTCAACTCCATTAAGTGTTAAAACAAATCGCAATCAATCAACATGCACTTTCTTTCTCTTCCAACAGAGATCTTGGAATTTATCACCATAGCACTTGACTACGCGAGTGAGGTAAATTCACTCTCTCAAACATGCCAACGACTCTATGGTGTTGCCAACCACCGACTTTACGTCGATTTTGCAGAATGCTCCCCTCGTGGTCTAGACCGCGTTGTGCAGAATGATAATGCGGATGCACTATACAGGCTCCTAGTCAACGGAGTCAGTTTCGATCAATATTTCCGCACGACTGGGCATCCAACGCCTCTTCGATTGACAGTCGAGAAAGATCTTTCAAACGTGGCTAAGCTTTTGGTGGTATACTTGGAGGTCTTGCTGGGAAATGGTAAGAGTGAATACCGTTTTCTCCCAGGCAACCCGAGCTACCGGGAATATGAAGATGACCTTGAATGGACGTTACACCTTACTGCAGCAAAAGGTAGTCTAGGTGTTTTGAAAGCCATTGCATCTTCTCTTGTCGTAAAATGGTGGCAAAATGCTTCTGCTCTAGCGTATGCCGTTCGATGGGGACAATTGGCATCCGCTCGCTACTTGATCGAGGAGGCTGGGGTGAACGTCAATACAAAAGTTATTGTTCATGGATTCTTTGACTCAGTTCTCGCAGAATCGGCCTATCAAGGAGATCTGGAGATGGCGAAGCTTCTCGTGGAAGCTGGTGCTGATCTCAAACGTCCCGAGTTCGACAACATTATGAAGTCTCCTCTTTACATTGCTGCTGCTCGTAATCATGATACTGTAGTGCAGTATCTGACGGAGAAAGGCATGTGCTTTTCCCCTGTGCAGCCTTATGACATTCATGACCTTGAGGAATACGCTAGCTTGCCAAACTATACGATCTCGAGAATTGTGGGTGGAGATGCCATTCGTGCATTGATGGCTAGCCCTTCATATAACTGGCAGGCAAGAGGATCTCTTTTGTCCGTGGCTGCAGCTTGTGGTGACAAGTCCCTCTACGAAGAAATTTTGAGTCGGCGAGATCCTTATCATAATCAGCAGCATCTCGTTACAGATTTCGGCGTTGCCGTGTTTCACAGGCATACAAATTTTGTGCGATACTTGGTTGCCGAAATTACAAAGCTAGGAGAGATACGTTTTGGCAAAAGTCATGGTCCAAATTGATCTCCTATACAACCCGCTACGAGAATGTTTCAGCTTTTGATATTTTGCTCGATTACGGACCTCCAGAGAATCAAGCAGAAGCTAGCAAGGGCTGGTTGAAAAAACTGCTCTCTGAGGCTGTAGATTATCCTGAGCATACGAAAATCCTCTCGGAACATGGCTATCTGGACACGATAAAAGATATAAAAATTCTCAAGGATCTATTCACTTGTGCCTTTGCGTCTGACGACTTTTCGTTTGTATGGAGGCTCCTGGAAACCAGCGGATTCCGGCCTCTTGATACATTCTATGGCCTCGATTTTGAGTTCCAAGAAATGAGTGTACTGCGAATTGCAGCCTATTATGCGCCAGTAGGAATTTTCAAAGAATTGTTAGCTGCGGACAATCTGACATTGGACCCGTCTGATGCCATGCACCGTTCAGCAATGGTAAGTGCGGCGTTGGGAACAAACTTCGACGTCCTCGATTTTTTTCTAGAAAAAGGTTTCGAGGTAAATTCCCTATATGAGATGGACGCGCCAAACAGGGACCGCCCCGCAGAAGCCTTGATAATCCAAGTCGCTTCTGTGTATCCTGGCCCAGATAGATTTATCACGAAGGAGATTCGGGAGGGCATTACGACCACAATAGAGTATTTGCTTGACAATGGCGCTGGGATCGACACAGAAAATTCAGAAGGACGCACGGCATTATCAATTGCGTTGGAAGTTGGGAACTTTGAGCTGGCCAGGATACTCTGCAGTAGAGGTGCAGATCCATTAGTCGGTCTCCAATCTCAAAGCAATGCCAGCGGTCTTGAACGACTCATCCAACTGTTTGAGCGAAGTGAATACGATCTGAGATTTCTGGACATGTTCCAAGCTTTTTTGGAGCTTATGGCAGCCAGGGGCTATCAGAGTGATGATTTCCTCCGTCTCATGCCCAACAACGAGGGGACACTTGCTCGTCCAAGGTTAACTTCCCAGCTTGCCAACTCCCCGGCAGTCAAGGGTCCTATAGACTTGCCATACTTCGAAGATAAGATTTATGTACGGTGGTCACATTTCTTCTTGATAAAAGAGTTGCGAAAGCAGTATTGGCGATCCGTCTATCCCATCCGACAGTTGTTTGGGCGGTCGGAAAATAGGCGACTGCAAATCAGCTAAGATTCTATTCTGAAGAATTCGACAGCAATTTAAATTTCACAATCTTGATGGTAAAAAGACCGACTATTGGTGTACGCGGACTAAAGGAAGTTTTAGCGGGTGCTTTATATCCTTTCTCCTGCCATCCGCATAGGTTCCATGAGGGGAGTTTTTTTTTAAGATACAAGTAGGTTGGTAGACAGGTATTTATGTACGCACGTGATCCCAGACCCCATGATTACCTCTGTAACCGCGATATTCAACAGGCGGGTTTGTGAAATGCAAAACCCGCGGTTAGCGAGATCTAGTTCGAAGCAACATGGGGTAGCATCTATGTCACCAAAACATGCTCAAAGAATGCTTCCCACAGTAGAAGCAAAGTGTAAGTAGCATATTTCAGAGCGCCTTTGATCTTCTCTAACAATAAATTATTTATAAGTGGTGGATGGGAAACTGTTGTGATATGAGGCTGTTGCAGATCAAGAAGCTTCCAGTTCTTTCTACGTGGAAGAGATACATGATGTAAGTAGATGCCTTCACTGTGTATATATATATAGCCTCGTGTCCCCCTCTGAGAAAACAATTAATTTATATACCTCTGAACTACAACAATATTGCTTTTTCTGATACTTCTCATCGAAATAGCCATGGATGACTTTGGATTGGCGCCAGTGCTAAGAATATGTATATCCGAAAAATTACAGGTGCGGACTGGGGGTATTTTCTTGGATATCCAGGGATACGGGAGGCATGTTTAATCAATGATGGTGAAATCTACATGAGTTAGCGAGAGTACGGAGTAATCGTGCCAAGCGCCCAACACACATTCTCTGTGTTGGTGCGCCCCACTCAATGATAATTCCCACACAACGATAATTTTCCACCTTTGGCATCAATTTTGTTAGCATTTTATACCATACCACGATGTCGGAACAAATTGAAAATCTCGAAAAACAAATTTTAAGGGCTACCAATACCTTTCATCTGAATAACAACACCAATATCGCCCAGTTGGCGCGGGAATTCAGCGTTCCATACAAAAGGCTTCGCGCCCGTATTCACGGGCGCGGAAGTAAAACCACTGCTGCTAGCCTAAAAAAGACACTAAACCCAATTCAGGAGAGAGCATTGAAAACCTGGATCGATACCCTACGTATTGGCAATATGGGTATATACCCTTCTCTCATTGAAAAGGCTGCAAATTTAATTCTACGCCGGGCTGGCAGCGATCAGGTGGTGGGCCCTAACTGGGTATACCGCTATATGCAAAGACTACCCCCTGAGATACCCTAAATCAACACAAATATGGCTGAAAAAGTGAGGCTTGATAGCGAGCAATACGGCCCAATGTTACTTTGGTTTAACAGCCTTTGTACGCTCTTTGAAAAGCATCAATTCTACCCCATGAGATCTTTAATTGGGATGAAACTGGCTACCAAATTGGCCAAGGAAAGCGGCAAAAGGTGCTTGCACCTAATGCTAATTATACCAATCCTACTGGTGGTCAAAAAGAGTCTATTACTGGCATTGAATGTATATCTGCCGATGGTTGGGTTATGCTACCTTGGTTTCTACCTAAGGGCTCTTTGCATATGGAGGAGTGGTATGAAAATATCACTACCCCCGGTTTCCGGATTAAACCTACGCCTAATGGCTGGATTGATGATAATACGGCTTTTGAATGGCTTCGTTCTTTTCATGAAGCTACAAAATCTCTGGTTAAAAATGGCAGGCCAAGGCTGCTTTTAATGGATAATCATGGATCCCATACAACGATCAATTTCATCGAATTTTGCAACCAGCATTTCATTATCCCAGTCTTTTTTTTACCCCATACAACCCATCTCTGCCAACCGCTAGATGGCCAGCCATTCCAATGCTTAAAGCATCATTTTCGTATAGCGAATAATGAAGCTATAATGTGGGGTGGAAGTACAAGCAAGAAGCGGGATTTTTTCTGGATAATTCAGGATGTCCGGGAGCAAGCTTTCACCCAAAGAATCATCCGATCTTCATTTAAATCTAGGGGTATTTACCCCTTAGATCCAGAGCTTATTCTCGGTCCTCTACGTCAAAGAGCTCTTGAATCTGAAGGGTCCCCCCTAGGATTCTCACTCCCTCTCCCCCTCCGGAATTCGCAAGCTCAGTCACCAATTCGCCGCCTGATACAATTGAGCGGGTTAATAGGCTTAATGCTAAGCTTATTCATGGCGTTAAGCAATTTGAAAACTACTCTCAGAGGGTAAAACGGCATAACCAACGTATGAATGCAAATTCACTTTTATCCCAAGAAAATGCTATACTACGGGCTGAATTAAAGAAGGCCCGTACGTCCACTTCAGTTGCAAATACCCCAAGAAATGGCAAATCGTTTCTTGGGACTAAAGGCAATGTCCTATCACCTATATGTGCAAATAGGAAGATGGTTGACAGGAGAGATGCTGATTCTAAGAAGTTGAAGCGCATACAGGCAAAGCATGCCAAGGAATTGGAAGCTCAACGGCGGGCTCAGGAAGCAAGGGATTTAGTAGAACCTGAGCATGAAGCTTCAATGGCGGCAAGAGATAGTAATGGTGCAAATTGGTATATAGATACTACTGGTGGTTATATGTAAATAGTGGTTTAAATGCAATTCATCCCATTGAAATTATCGTTGTGTGGGAATTATCGTTGAGTGAGTGGGGCGCACCAACACAGAGAATGTGTGTTGGGCGCTTGGCACGATTACATGTAGATATGGGATGTAATGGCAGGACAGGTCGCTGCAGCCCACCGAAGTCTTTACTATGGGGTGCACGGACAAAAAGTGTGGACTGGGTGACACTTCTGAAGAGACTAGTACAGTAGAGTTGCGTCCCCTCACGCTACCATGGTTCGACGGGCGCCATTATTCTTAGTGCGCCTACGTGAGCACGATCAGTAGATTGGACCTCATCATTGGAGGACTGAGGATGGATATATTACTCTGGATCTCCCTTAGTCTAGAAAGCAGACAGATCGCTGCAGTCTACCGGACGATTTACTACGGGTGCACGGAAAGAATTCGTGGAATGGTGGACCATTCCGAACTCACTTTGACAGCAGTAGTAGGGGTGGGCAAACTGGACGAGAAAATTGCGAAAATCCTGGTAAGCTGGGATACTAGTTTTTATAATTCCCCAAAATGTTCTGCACAAAGAAACATGGATCAAGCGACGAGAAAGGTACCACAGGGTGGTCGTACGAGCCGAACGTCGTTTTTGCACCCACAGAACCTGCCGCTTCTTGGCTACATGGCCGGACGGTGAATCGAAAATGGTATTTCTCGACATCATGGCCCCCCATACTATCTTTTAAAAGCTTGCGGACTCGGCTGAGATTTCCCAGTATCGATTCAGTTCGCAGGAGGAAAAATGGATATACTGCCACAATCTCTTCAGTCGCATTGCTCAAGACACAGAGCCGGATGTCTGCCCAGTCCGACTTCTCCGAGAGGTAGAATTTAGACAAGTAGTGGAATACATCGTCCGCAGAGGTAGATGATGACAATAGATCCGGACCCGTCCATTTAAGAAAGTATCCACTGTCACTGCTAGGACAGAAGTAGCCCTCGATTATCGGAAGAGGATCGATTGGTCTTTCTGTGGATAAGGGGAAGCGAGATATGTTATCTAGATAAAGACTCTCATGGCCAGTGGAAAGGACAGACGGTGGCTCATGCACATCTAAGAGCCTGGTCCATAACGCTGCATGGTCAAAATCTAGATGGCAACCTGGAGGGATATTGTAAGTGTTGAGTCTTCTTACAACCAAGTTCACATTTACCAGTGTGTGAGAATTGTTCTAACATCTCAGTAGAGCTGTTGGCCGTGCGGTCTTGTTTGGCGACAGAAGCGGTATGGTGTGCAGGCTCGATCTGTTTGAAGCACATTTCATGATCGCACCTTGGGTAGTATTTAGCACAAGCCAAGACAAATATGGAGATGATAGGAGACCCTTTAGGCCATTTGGATCAAAGAAAGAATATTATTCCACATAGGATAGCCTGAACAATTTTGCGAGTTTATTCAAAGCATCATCCTAGGTGGCTAGGTCACTGACAAATATAGGGCCACAATACTAACCTAGAGTGATACCGAGGTCCATTTTGCTGGATCGGAATTGAAGATTTGCTTGAAAAATATTGTGCAGATTTGGTGGTCGCAGGAGCACTCCAACGCAGTGAAATCGCGTCGCGACTATCGGGGAACGTGGAAAGGCTGATTTTAGATTTCCTCTCTCTTTTCACCATTCGAAGATATTGCTCCTCCACGCCAAGGCTGTGTTCTTGTGCAAGAAGGCGCCGCAGCTCGTCGATGTCTGTGGACATTCTGAATAAATGTTGCAAACGGCCTTCTCAAAGCTGCTGGTGTCCTTGTTTACCTTACGCGCGCCTGATATCATCATGTGACACATGTACGTGACGAAACCTGAAGACTCGGCGGTGAGATTGCACGTGATTTTCGTCCGAATTTCTATTGGCTGAGACTAGAGCCTTCCCGCTTGGTAAACGGGTTCCCATTTCTTTCCCTTGAGGCTTTCTGTCTCTTCTCTTCAAACCTCTTGTCAATACTATTCTTGTTGAAGAACCATACACGATAGTGTTACGTGTCGCGTCCTTGACTCAGGCCTCCACTACTGCAGACATCCGGGCTTTCGAATACAAAACAGAGACAGTGGAAAGAAAAAGGCTCAAACCAGGCAATACAACAATTTTTCGAGACCTTTTGCTCGAGTAGCAGGCATGTCAGACCCTGCGAATTACCCCGTGGGCTGGATCTGCGCCTTGGGCGTGGAATAGGTTGCCGCACAGGAATTTCTCGATGAAGAACACGAAAAGCCCATATATGTGTCGCCAAATGATACCAACGACTATGCGTTAGGCAAAATATGCGAGCACAATGTCGTCATCGCCGTTTTGCCTGATGGTGATTATGGAACCGCTTCCGCGGCCAATGTAGCAACAAATATGCTCAACACCTTTCGCAACGTCAGGATAGGCCTCTTGGTCGGTATCGGTGGTGGTGTACCAAGTGAAAGCCATGACATTCGTATGGGCGATGTTGTGGTCAGTGCCGCTCGTGGTGGTGAGGGTGGTGTGTTCCAGTACGACTTTGGTAAGTCGATACAGGGCCGAAGTTTTCAGCATACGCGGTTCCTGAACCAACCACCAACTATACTTCGCACTGCAATGACAGAGATACAGGCACAGTACAAAAGAAAGGGGCATCAGCTCAAGGAGGCCATCAACAGCATTCTCGACAAGAACGCCAGGCTGCGCCGCGAGTACGAACGGCCGCCACCAAGCACGGATAGGCTGTTTGAAGCCGAGGTTATGCACGACTCAAGAGACTGTGCTGCATTTTGTGCGGATGAGCCATCAAAGTTGGTACTGCGATGTGAGCGGGCCGAACACGAGGATGATCCTACAATCCACTATGGCCTGATTGCTTCTGCTAACCAGTTGATGAGAGATGCCTCAGTTCGAGATAGACTTGCAGCGGAAAAAGACGTTCTGTGTTTCGAAATGGAAGCTGCCGGCCTGGTGAACACCTTTCCCTGTCTGGTTATTCGGGGCATTTGCGATTACTCAGACTCGCATAAGAATAAAGAGTGGCAAGGGTACGCAGCGATGGTGGCGGCTGCGTACGCTAAGGACCTGCTACGGAGGATCCCATTGAACAGAATTGAGGCCGAGGAGAGAATTAGTGTCATTCTATCTGGTTAGTCCAGGGCAGTCTTATAACAATCACGTGAATAAATAATGACCACGGAATTCTACAGACGTGCTGAAAAGCACCAACCAGCGCTTAGACCGAGCATACAATCAACAAGAACAACATCATCGCGAGCAAAAAACAACAGTTTTGACGGATCAGCAACAACGTTGTCATCAAGCTTTCAAGATATCGAGTTACACGGAGCAAAAGGACATCAATCCAAGATTAACAGAGGGAACCTGTCAATGGGCGCGACAAAGCCCTGAATACGTCCGTTGGCAGGAAAGCTGGTGTAATGATCTCCTCTGGCTATCAGCCGATCCAGGCTGCGGGAAGTCCGTACTAGCCAAGTCAATTATCGATGACTACTTGCAAGCCTCCACTTCACCGGTCACAACATGTTACTTTTTTTTAAGGACAACGATGAACAGAATAATCTTGCTACGGCATTGTACGCAATACTTCATCAGCTCTTCAGCCAGATGCCTGATCTACTCTATCATGCATTGCCATCCTTTGAAAAGAACGGGGAGAGACTTCGTCATGAGGTCGACGAATTATGACGAATCTTTGTAACGGCAACATCAGCCGAACCATCACCCAAAGTCGTTTGCATACTCGATGCACTTGACGAATGCGGTGAAGCTGACCAAGGTCGTTTGGTTGAGAAACTCGCGCTTTTTCACCGTCAACAACATTCATCAACACAGGATACCTGGTTGAAGTTCTTGGTCACTAGTCGTCCCTATAATAAAATCCAGCATAAATTTCGAGTGATCACGGAGTCTTTCCCGTATATACACCTTAAGGGAGAGGATGAAAATGATCAAATCCATGAGGAGATAAATTTGGTCGTGAAGATTAGAGTGAAAGAGTTGGCTGAAATGGCAATATTGTCGTCTGATATACAGCAGCGACTTGAGCGCCAGCTTCTTCAAATGGAACACCGCACTTATTTATGGTTACATTTGGCCATTGATGACATCCGCACTACCTTCGAGAATAGCCTTTGGCCTGCCGAGGAATCAATTCAATTCGACTAGTGCCTGCCTCTGTGAATGCCGCTTATGAAAAAATTCTCAGTCGAGTCCCATCTGACCAAAAGAAAACTGTGAGAGAGGTCTTACAGATTATCGTCGCAGCACGGAGGCCTTTGACAACACAAGAAACGGCCATGGCGTTAGGCATAGCTCTCCGCCCACAGTCGCGAACTGCAGCAGAGGCAAGAATAGATCTAGGTCATTTGGATAAGAAGCTTCGACAGTGGTGTGGCCTCTTTATCTTCACCAAGAACTCCAAAATCTACCTCATCCATCAGACAGCAAGAGAGTTTCTTGTCAAAAGGGAAGCTGCTGGCCAACCATATTCTACATACTCGTGCACCATTGAAGATACTGAGGACCAGATGGCGGGTATCTGTTTACGGTACTTGTCCATGGATGGTTTAGATGAGAATGACGCCCAGACATGCTCTGACTTTCAGAGTTTCCTAGCATATTCAGCGGTATATTGGCCTGATCACGTTCGAAACATGTCTTCGACTGCAGAGCGACTGCTTAAGAACCTGCTGCATCGATTATACGACACAACCGCAAACCGATTTTCGCTTTGGTTTCCCATATATTGGAAAGCAGTAATGGGATATACATTAACACCTACAATGAATGCCATTCATTTGGCGGCCTTCAACGGGCATGAGCATGTGGTCCGCCATCTACTTGCTGGCGATGAACGAATTGCAAAGACTGCGGATAGTACGAGATCTTACCCGTTGATATGGGCCTCTCTGAATGGACACCAGGGAGTCGTGCATGCATTGTTAGAGCGGGGGGCCGATGTCAATGCTCAGGCTGGAGAGTACGGCAGTGCTCTACAAGCTGCCTGTTCCAGAGGGCACGGCAAGATTGTGCAAGTGTTGTTAGAGCGCGGAGCCGGTGTCGATGCTCAGGATGGAGAGTACGGCAGTGCCCTATATGCTGCTTGTTCCGGAGGACACGATACGATTGTGCAGGTGTTATTAGAGCGGGGAGGCGATGTAAATGCTCAGAGTGGATCATACGGTAATGCCCTACAAGTCGCTTGTTCCGGAGGATACGACAAAGTTGTGCATGTGTTGTTGAAGCGTGGAGCCAATATCAATTCTCAGGATGGAGAGTACGGTAGTGCCCTATATACTGCTTGTTTTAAAGGACACGATAACATTGTGCAGGTGTTGTTGGAGCGCGGAGCCGATATCAATGCCCTACAGGCTGCTTGTTCCGGAGGACACGACAAAGTAGTGCAGGTGTTGTTGAAGCGCGGAGCCAATGTCAATGCTCAGGATAGGGAATACGGCAATGCCCTACAAGTTGCTTGTGCTAGAGGACACGAGACTATTGTGCAGGAGTTATTAGAGTGCGGAGCCAATGTCAATGCTCAGGGTAAACACTGCGGCAATGACCCACTACAGGCTTCTTCTTCTGAAGGACACGACAAGATTGTGCAGTTGTTAAAGCGCGGAGCCGATGTCAGTGGTCGCGGTGGAGAGTACGGCAATGCCCTACAGGCGTTCACTTTTCAGAATATTCTCTCCAGATGGTCGTCCAAAACTAGACTGCGGCCCTTCAATCCCGCGAGGGTCCTTAGAGACATCCAAAAACCTTCAGCCGAGCCTAGACAATTACAGACTATGACACTCCTGACTCGTGCTTACAATTATCGAAAGGTCGCATAATCCTAAAACGGTATAGCTCGGAAACCATACCCTACATAGACATTATGTCGTTTATGAGCCCGAATCGGCCTGTCGAGACCACCCATCATATCAGTTGATTAAGCCAATGACCTACCGCTGTGCTACCCTGTTGGGAGCGGGATTCTATTACTAGATGACCTTGTCCAAAGGGCTGCGTAATAGGCCCATTAAATTAGAGTAATTTACCTGATAGGAGTTCTGCGCATTTATGCCTACTTCGTACCTTTTACCTCGCACCTCGCACCTAGCCTTTTTCGAAATAGGGGTGGACTATAAAGGTGTTGAATCTCACATTGAAATAGCTCACCCTTTTCTAAAGATACTCGAGAATCCTTCAGCGTCGTTGCTCACAGACTCCGTGACTCCGACCTCAGCTTCCTTCAGAGCCTGTGCATCTCTCATATCTGCTGTTTTTAGCACCAGGAAACTTCTGAGAATCTAAGGCTTATCATTGTAAGTACCTTCTTCGATCACTCCCGTTCATTGGCTTACCTTTATATAATACCCAGTTCGAACCCCACGTCGCAAAATGAGTGATGATCAGCTTGCCGCACGCAGTTCCTATACTCAAGATCAACCTACAAACCCGACGGGTGAAATTGAGGGAGCAATTCGGCTTAGTCATGTGGTTGAAGATAACCATGAGCTCAATACAGCGATTAATTGTTGTTGGCTTGCGGTTCAGGAGACTCCTCGTGATTATCCCGACTATACAGCGCGCCTAGACAGCCTCTGGAAACTGCTGAATGGTCGATACGAACAAACCAACAATGTCGATGATCTCAACGCAGCGATTGATTGTTGTTGGCTTGCGGTTCAGGAGACTGCCCATGATCATCCCGACTATGCAGTGCGCCTAGACAGCCAGTGGAAATGCTGAGCGATCTGTACGAACAAACTGGAAATGTCGATGATCTCAACGCAGCGATTGATTGTTATCGGCTTATGGTCCAGAGGACTGCTCATGATCATCCCGACTATACACCGTGCCTAGATAGCCTCTGGAAACTGCCGAATGATCGATACGAACAAACCAACAATATCGATGATCTCAACGCGGCGATTGATCGTTATCAGTTTGCGGTTCAGAAGACTCCTCGTGGTCATTCCGAATATTTAGCGCGCCTAGATATTATGGCGGGCCTGTTCCACTCGCGATTCGTATCTACAGCATCTTTGCCTGACCTTCATCGTGCAATTTCACTCATTTGTACCGCAATCCTGGCCACAAATGATGACGCTAGTACTATAGAGCGCTGCTTCGAACTCGGGAGAGAGCTTGAAATACTATTTGACACTCAACAAAACATCACCTATCTTGACATGGGGATTGAGTTCTGTTTCCGAGCGCTCGAGGCCACCACTGAAAACTCCTCTTGTTTTCTAGATCGCTTGGTCGACCTCGCTCACAAGTTTGGAATACGATACGACAAATTGGCAGAGATAAAAGATCTCCAAATGAAGGTGCTACTACAGCAAGAGCTTCTTAACGCTGTTGGTGATCAAGATCAACATCAATTACGGGCAGAGTGCCTACTCAACCTCGGCAATACCCTGAAATCCCGATATATCGGAGAGCGTCCTGACCTCCAGGAAGCGATCACCCTAGTTTGCGATGCAATTAACGTGGGGGCCAACGATCCTAACCATCCTTTGCTTCCATGAGCTCGGGACCAAGGTCGGACTTCTATGAAGCCATTACATGGTCTTATAAAGCGGTCGAGGGGGATACTCTTATTTCACATCATGGAGAGGTTTTTCGCAACCTCGCAAACATTCTCACATTTCGATACGTGAGAACACACCAGACCAATGATTCTAAAGCAGCAGCCAAGTGGGCGGGAGAAGCAGTTCAGAAGGAGGATTATCTTCTTTTCAAGAGTGTCCGCACGGAATCCTGGGGCGAGAATGGATGTCGATGGTCGAGCAATAGCTTTTAGGTGGCTGAGGGATGTATTGAATGAAATTAAAATTCGTTGCTTCTGACAAGCTGGCCTTACACGTCGTTTTAGTTATATGTATTTTCGTTTACGGGTTGCTAGATTCAGCGGTGATCATACCCTCATACAATTGCCTCTATCTCAAATTTCTCGGTCGGTGATTAATTCCATGGATTTCAGTTGTGATATACCGACCTAGAACGGCACGGAGATCGCTAGCCGACTGAAGGACTGAGCCACCCGGACAAGTAATAGGGCAATCAGAAGGCACCGCCGCAAACCACTGGCTGTATGATGTCGAGGAGTACCTACGCCGCTGAATTGTGAACGTCTGCGGAGACGACGATGCGTATAAACTAGCGTTTGCCGCTGGGTTGCTGACCGGAGACGCCTTTATCAAATGGAGAACTGCCAACCAACAAGTGGACGCCGGGCTTTATGAACGAGGGAGCCGGATGCCATAGACTTGACGGCCATACGGAACACGAGAACGTGTTACAACTATGGCAAAACATATCCAGCGCGAGTGTAAGCAAAGGGTCATAAGGAGGGAAAAGGCCAGGGTCAGTAAGCTAAGGCGAGCTTACTAACCCACTTTCTAAAACCCACCGCCCTAAGATAGCGAACGACCACTGGCTTGGTGTATCCCACGCGAAACGACAGTTGAGAAGAGCCACGATGATGCTGAATGCCCTTGGCGAGGACCTGAACTTCTTCGACAGCTTCCTCCAGCGATCTGGCGCAGTAGGGAAGCTAATTGCCACCCACATGCTGCTAGATTGTGGAGCAAGTCACGCGTTTGTATTGCTTAACTTACCTACTACTGGGTGTCAACTAAAAGGAAGAGTAAGTGACACCAAAAAAAAAAACAAGAGAAAGTGGATGGAGCAGGTTAAACGTCGATGACATAGTTAGCCCAGCAAGAGTTCACGTCGTCGCCAGGACTAGCTGAAGCAGCTTCCTCCTGACGACGGATGGACTCGAGCCCGCTCAAATTCTGTTGGATGAGCCGAACGTCCAACTGCATTTGCGCCAAGTCACGGCTGAGATTCTCTGGAAGGCAGATGAAGTGTGCTATGCTACAACAGGGAAAAGGGACAAAGGGAGAAAGGGCGAGAAGTGCTTATAAAACAACGCCAAGCAGCACCGCTGCATCTTAGCATCGCCACACGGAGGTTGCTTATAATTCAGGGGGCGAGAACGGGGGAGCCGTAGTGATTTGGACACATAGGCAAGAAAATAGTCCCATTCTCCGTCGGGATTCGTAACACTTAACGCCCACGGTTCCTTCCCACGGCTGTCCCTAGTCTCATACGCATGAATGGTGGGGCAAGAAAGATCCCCATTCGTAGAAGGGATGTTGGGGCAGTTTGATCGAACTCTTCGGGCATATGGATTCCTTCGTGGGACCGGTTTGATAGATCAATCCCTTTCGGTCTTCCGTGAATCATAGCCAGCAGTTACCCAGCAGGTACAGGTCAGCCACGCGAAGCCGGCATAATCTCGGGTCCTGATCATCGCAATCCCGGTGCTGGAGCACCATCGCCCTAGTTACAGTCACAAATATAACCATATCATCATCCCACCAACCGGGTCTTTGTATAGTGATTTCGGTGGAGTCGTGATGCAGTCCGCTATGCGGCGTTCTCGCATGTGATCATCGCCTGAACGCCCACAGCGGACGGAGGACACATGAGGCATTTCTGCCATCGGTCAGATTCAGACACCGCATGCACGTCGACAAGTCATCGCCTCGTCTTAAGACTGAGACACGGCTCCTGTGGTGGCCGTCGGATAGGAATGGAACATATGAGGCAATTCTGTCATTGGTGTTCACGTTGCGCTGAATAGGTGCAGAAATTTCAACACGTCATCGTCCTCGGCTCGGAAATGAGACAGCTCCTGTGTGGACCTTCGAATCAAGAAATGCTTTCGAGGGTTGGACCGGGGCGCACATAGCCAACAGCCAATGGCCCAGTAGAAAATTTTGGGGAGTGCCCAATCCAGGCGGGCGAGGGTATGCCACTGGTCATCTCGCACCCTCTAGGAAAGATCAGCGACTTATGCTCGCCATATCGACCAAGTCGGTGGACGCCAGCGTCCCTTGCAAGCGACATGAGTGGGGAGAGAAGGGGGCTGAGCACTCGTTTTGGGGAACGGTCATTTCCGAGAGGGAAGGGTTCCGAGCGGTGGCGTCCGACCTCAGGGTGACAGAGGCGTACGGACGTGGGAAGGAGACGTCGTCGAGCGACGCACCGGCGGGATTATATAGTCGACGAAGGGACATGAAGGCGGAGAAGCGTGGCAGTTCCCGATAGGGGATAGTGCGAGAAGCCATCCCCGATCGAGGGAACGCTAAACCACTCCGGGCTGCCGCTGGACGGGCGCTAAACCCGAACGGTGCGGTTGCCGAAAACGGCGGTCCTCTAGTAAATACGAATTGTACTTTCGAATAAGCCAGTACGCGCTTGATTGATCACTGAATGAGGGGTACCAAAGAAAACAAGCCCCGACCTTTTAATATTAGCATCGAACGTCATCTCTTTCAGGGATCAACAATGAAACCTACGTCGGGTCTTTTACCTCGAAATATGCTTGTTTCTCTGACGCGTTGATCAAAGCCTATCCATCTTGTAAGTAGCAGTACCCATACATTTTCAACCTGACTCACCTGTTTGACCAAGACCCCTCCTAAGCCTTGGCACAAAAATATTATCTTTGTATCCTGCTTTTCTCAGGCTCTGAATGGAAGGTTACTTCTAGAAGGTTCAGGAACTCACCTTCAAAGAACATCTAGATTTGCACAATTGCTGCAGCAAGACATTCGATTCTTCTTGAACGCCTTGTGTACTGCTGCCAAAAGTGCGAAAGATTCATACTCGTATAAAAAATAGTCTCGCTCTCCAGCCGCTGCCTCGGAGAGACAAGCCTTGGAAGAACAATTTAAGCCATCCTTCATTGGACTGAGTGTTGTATGTTTGTTGCCACGAAGGGTCTGAGCATTTTCCATCTACATCAATGAAGTCAAGGCCATGGATAGCTATCACACTGCTCATTGTGTAGGCATTTGCCGGAGTGAAGGTAATAGATAGTACTATCGTAATTTATGGCATTTCCAGCTAGCTCGACGTCTATATTGTTGGTTAGTAAGTAATTTCGGTGAGTGATTATGGTCTAAGGCAAGTGAATTCACTATCTTGCCATGGCTGGGTGAGGACAGAAAAAGTCCGAGATTTGAAAATATGTTCGTGAGAGATTACTTACCGTGGGGAGGATGGAGGGCTTTATAGGTCACTGATATTCATGAAAGAATCCACGTAGCTCATAGCCCAATGAAGCCTGCGAGAGGTCTACATTATCCTCGGGCCTGGCTGTTGCTTCCAGGGATATTGGGCTTCTGGTATCTGCAACGATAACCCTGCTGTTAGACGCCGAGTACCGCTCCGCACGAATTTTCGAACTGTTCGAAGTTCGCGAATTTCGGCGAATCGAATCGAATTCGAACCTTGGTTTCGGGGCTTCGAATCTATGACCGATTCGATTCGTCAAAATTCGCGAATTTCGAACAGGTTCGCGAACTAATATCTAGCCTTTTTAGGAAAAAGGGTTTGTGGAACGAGTTTTCGAGATGGCCGGCCCCTACAAGAATACTTCTGCAAATAAGGTCTAGAATATCAAATACCTGTATGCCCAAAAAAACTATTACTGTATAACTATGAACACTTCCAACGTGCAGCATCTTTCAGCCTTAATAAGGTCCCAAGGGTCTTACCTTTCATGGAGAAACGTCGAATCCCCAGCACATCTCTCCCACCATTGAACAATCTCTCGATATCTACCTCTGCTGCCGGTATAGCAAGGTGATCTTGTGCTACCTTTGCCATACAACTAAATTCAAGCATGTTGGCCTTCCACCAGTTTCGTATAAACTCGGACTGGCTCTGGCTTATATCGAAACCAGTGCTGATTGTCGGTGTATCGAAATAATTGTCGATATCAGACTCAGCGACGTTATACTGTGTAGGCTGAAAGGCTTCCAGAAATCGATATTCGAAGCTCTTCCAATTGGTGCTTGGAGTAGTCGATACAGGCTGTTTTGTAGTGGAATATGCTTTCTTCAGGAACTCCCGGATTCGGTCAATAATCTTCTCTCCATCTGGTAGCGTTTTGAGCCACTTGGCCTTGATTCAAGGGTCCAGAACGCTTGCGATATAGTATATGTCGTTGTCTTTGACGCATTCGTGGTACTTCTCCAAGAGTGAGATTCCATCGGAAACAGGAACAGTTATTGCTGGTGAGACCTTCTGCACTCGCCTCGTCGTTCCTTGATAGCGAGGAGTATAGAACGGAGCTCTCCAAACATACGCGCCGCCATATGAATTGAAGGGCTATCCCGAGAGACGTACTCGGTATATTCGTTGAAGGGAGCCAGGATCATCTTGATATCCGAGAGCTGTCTCCAGTCGTTGGGCGTGAGACGTAAGGCTTCGATATCTGGATCATCGTTGACTGTATCTTCGAGCTGACGGCGACACTCTTCAGCTCTCACAATCATAACAAAGGTAGAGTTCCATCGAGTATCAACATCGTAGTTGATAGCTTTTGTACAGCCAGGTCGATTATCCCACTTCTGTATCCGCTGAGGAGATCGCGCAATCCAAAGGACAAGTAGTCGAAGCTTTGCAATAGGCGAAGTAGGAGCGTTGACCGTCTTCCAGCTCCTCTTAGCAACATCATCAAGAAGATCACAGGCTTCCTTATGCGAACTAGCGCGTAAAGACCTCAATATAGTTTTCATAACCAAGTTCAAGATGTGAGCAAAGCAGCGGATTTGGGAGTTATGGGTAAATTTCATCGTCCCTTCTCGGATGATAGTCTCGGCCAGGTACTCATCGTACCGCTGAGACAGCTTTTGGTAGAGACATCGGTGTAGGGTATCGTTATTCGATGCGTTGTCAGCTGTAATTGTCATAACTTTATCGGATATATGAAACCTCTCGAGAACCGTCGCAACGATATTAGCAAGGTTCTCTCCAGAGTGGCTGCCTTCAATTTCAACGAACTCAATACAAGCTCGATATTGCTGGAAGGCAGAGGACATCCAGTGAGCATTAATGGCTAGCATTGGCAATGAATTCTGACTTGTCCAGCCATCCAAAGATAGCGCAATTGAGGATGCTGAAGACATTAAGATTCGAAGCTCACTGTCAAGAGCATCAAGCCAAAGACATAATCGGCGCGACACAGTATCCGCACTTGGTACGGAGTCTTGAAAGCCTGCGGACCTCAACATAGCCTTGAATGAAGGCTGTTCGACGCATGTAAACGGTTGGCAGGTTGATACAATCCAATTCAAGACAGTTTCTTCGAATGGGAGCTTCTTTTCCTTAGAAATCCATGAGCTTAGCGGACCTTGGCACCCTGAATGGCCGTCCTGGAAGAGCTTGTGGGTTTGCTGCAGGTGCTGTTTCAACGCTGTGGTTGAAGATCGCAGTTTCGATGCAAATCGAAAGAATCGGCAGGTTGATGGCGACACAATACACAGGTGTTTAAGCTCGGACCGCTCCTTATTTCCTAATCTCCAGGTGCCAGATTCGGGTGTAGTAAGGTAGTGTTTCCAAACCCAGCTCCGCTCTTTCGACCTAGTCTCATCTTTCTGCTTGATTTCGACCCTCTCTACCTCGCATTCGACCTGAGATATTGATTGCGAAGGATGTATATCCGTATCAAGATTCGACAAACTCATAGAGACATTGCTGGGAGCTGTAGGAGACGTTGAAATTGGAGGAGTCGGCGACTTAAGGGCGGACCGGACTGCCATCTTCTTTCGGGGAGGCGGAAGTGGTATATCGTCTGCAAGGAGGCCATATTTATTAAGCGCCGCATAATCGCGTTTATTCTTCCTAGTATTAGGACAGTCAAATGTTGTAGCAAGTGGAGAAGTCATCTGTAACTTTATATTAGTATGTCAAGCTTGTGTCTTAATCGATCGCTTACCCTCAGGCACCCTGAAGTGACGGTTTTTAGTAGCTTTTGCACCCGATTTGGATGTTGTTCTTAGTAAAAGCACGTATGCGCGAAGACACGTTATTGTGGAGTCTCCGCTAACCCGATTAGACTATCTATTTACTCTTCATTAAATGCAATGTGCAGCTATTCATATTATGACTCCATATTGATATATTACGTGTATCTCAGTACGATCTATGAGCTAGTATAATTTGAAGCAAAACAGACCACATATAAGATTATCGATTTGTGGAGTAACCTTAAGAGTCGAATAATATATATCTGGATGAATTTTTTGACCGAAAATTGCATCTATTGATACTGCCCTACAGCTTCTCAATCTTAAGGCCAGATTTTTCAATTTTGATATCAGACTAAATCTATCCTACTTATCTCTGAATCCAAATGTTAGTTAACAAATTATTAGACTACCTGTATGAAGTGTTGATTGCTGGCTATCGTATTGAACAACAGGCGTGATTGACCGCCTTCCCAATGAAGCTTTAGAACAAAAAAGTTCGCGAACTTCGAATCGAATTCGAATCGGTCTTGAATTCGAATTCGTACGAATCGTTATTTTCAATATTAATTCGAATCGAATCGAATCTGCCAAAAGTTCGATTCGATTCGATTCGTGCGGAGCGGTACTTCGGAATGAATTGCATCCAGAGACACAGATGCGGCGGCTAATTCCTTAACGCTCTGACAAATCCAACCGATAGTGTAGTCTTGTGGCTCAGTCATTATGAGGTGATGGTATGCGGATCCTGTGCAGGGTCAAACATGAAAGTGTCAACAAGCCAGCTGACAACTTATGTAGTTAACTACCTAGTTAGTCAGAACAGTCATTACGTAAGCCTAGAATTAGTTAGTCTCCGCAGTCTAGTTCTATCACAGCCTGCCAGCCTGCCAGCAGGGCCTAGGCATGCACTCCAAATGCGCCGGAGAAAAGTCAATGACTAACCCTGGGGGCCAAAAGCAAGAAAGGCCCGTGCGATGGATCGCTGCAGTTCAGTCACACATGTGGTCACACTATATTTATCAGCCTCTGCATCCCCTCACTGGTCTCTGGGACTTTGCTACAATTTTCACCGTTTTCAATACGAAATTTAGCATTGTTTGTCCCCAAAGGCATGCTAGGGTGTGCTACAGAGCTATGAAGGCTTAGATCTCTTTATCTCCTCGGACAGCCCGCATGGCTTCCAATTCTCGTGTTCCCTGGTTTGAAAAGTCACAATACCTTTGACTAAGCACTGGATTGGTCCTGAACGGATACTATGGCTACCGTACCGACTTCCCATCACCACCCCCTTGCGCTAACCCAACCTG